TTGCTTGAATATAAAAGACTTTGATTAAGGTAAATGGTGTTTCACACATACATTCTCAATGATTCTTTCTCTCACGCTGGGTACTTGAATCTAAATGAGTGACTTGTATACAATGATGAACACCTCATAACTTCGTAAACACTTAGTATTTATACTAAAAAACCAAATAACCGCTGGGCAGTCACGCCGCTTCATGATGACGCCACATGACATGCTCACAACCTTCGACGCCTACGTGCACGACACATTGCGCTTGGTAACTGCTGGGAACCGTTTTCCCTCCAATAATTCAGAATTCAAACCTTTCGATCTTGGGCATCAGGGACCTTGGTCGAGAGGTTGCTCCTTCGACGTCGAAGACAACCAGATTCCAACTTAAAGGAATTTCTCTAAGTATCTTGTCATTCTTTGATGAGTCTTCGACGTGATCAGTTGGTCGAAGCCTTCTTGTGTAGGAAACTCTTCTGACTCATAATTAATGATCTATATGATGAACAAACGTGGGTGTCGAATTTAGGAGCCAACAGATACTTATTCACATTTCTAAGAGGTCCTATTTCTTGGTGTTCCAAGAAACAATATGTTGTTGCGCTGTCAACTTGTGAAGCTGAATATATTGCAGACGCTCTGATTACGTGTCAAGCTGTGTGGATTTCGAACTTGCTGAAAGATCTGAAGATTGAGGTAAATAAACTTTTGAAGCTGATGATTGATAACAAGTCTACAATCAATCTTGCCAAGAATCTAGTGTTGCATGGGAGAAGCAAGCATTTTGAGACTAAATGTCACTTTCTGAGGAATCAAGTTCATAATGGAATATTAGAAGTTGTGTATTGTAGCACCCAAAAGCAGCTGACAAATGTTCTGATAAAGACTATCAAAACTGATCAATTTCTTCGCTTGAGAGATGAAATTAGTGTTGTCAGTTTTGGATAAAATATAAATTAAGGGATGTTGTTAGAATTAATTTATATTTAGGAATATCTTTTAGATTGTTTATATCTTTGTTAGAAGATATACATATTTGTTTGAAGATATATTTTATATTTAATTTTTGTGTATAAATAGCCTAGTGAGATAGTTATTGTAAATAATTATTCTTTATTTTTGTAGCCGTTATTAAATATATTTCTTTTATTTTTCATCTCTTCTTTGTGCACCAATAATTTGTATTCCCATTATATTTTTCCACCAACTTTGTGAAGATGGAAATCCACCGCAAAGTTGCAAGTTGCATTTCTTGCAAATTTAAAGTCATTATTGCTTCTTGAATTTGCTTACTTTTATTCATGCTAATTTTTCTATGGCTGCTCTGAGCTAGTTTCTTACGTTAAGTGCTGAGTCTGTAAAGGGCAATAATGCCTCATATGGAATAGTTTCTTTTTAAAGTTTTGCATGATAAAGAAAACCCTTATACTTTTCAGACCATTTAAAGATAACTTTTGTAAAATTAGCAAAAGGTAACAATGCATTCATAGGATATCATATTAATTTATACATACATGTGGACTAATCCATGTAGATAGCTTCAATAATATATGCTTTTTAGAAGTGTCATGATTCCATTTTGCATTGACCAAGATCCTTGATCAATCGATTTGAAACTTCCACGTAGCTCCATTTTGGTTTTGATAAAGTGTGGAATTCATCGTAACTTTGAGAGTTTTCAAAATAAAGTGTGTGACTTTTAAAGTAGACCAAATCACAATATTATTTTGAATTTACACTCATCTTCAACCTTTAGCAAGATATCATGAGTTGATTGTTTCTCAATTCTTTGAGAGAGTGAGATCCATAATAGAGGAAGGAATGCTATCATTGATAATTGTGCAGTTCTTAAAGTGCAGGTCAAGATTAAGATTGTGTAGTGTTGCTGTAAACTAACAATCTAGTAGGAGAAAAAAGAAAAAGATTTCTACTCTATTAAAGACTTTGGTTGTATCAAGAGAAGATAGTTACAGAAAAAAGTTGGGAGTTTCTATCTCGTTAAATTGAACTAAGAGCTCAAAAAAGGATGATAGGATCGAGGAAAGATTGTTGCGGAATAAATTCTTAAAGCAGATCTTGAATTTAAATTAGTAAAGGTTGTAGAGAATTCAGGCCGATCCAAAGCAAGTGCAGCAAGAGCTATTGCACAGGACCCATGTATTAAAAGGCCTCACTTTTGTCAAAATTATAAAATTGGCTTTGCAACATTTTATTTTGAGAATTAAAACAAAATTAAAATTAATTTAGTATTGTTACAAGGTCTCACATAGATTCCACAAGTCAATTTTAAATTATTCTGTGAGTTATTTATTTTATAGTAATTTCAAACGTGTACCAATTTTTGATGTGGAATTATATTGCTTCATTATTTCTTATTCGACAATAATTACATACTATGTTTTAATAGCAGATTTTCGGTTAATGTGTTGCTATTTTTTGATTTAGTCATCAATCAATTTTTTTTTAAATATCAAAGTGTTGTTCAATTACATCAAATTTATCAAACTTATATATATATATATATATATATATATATATATATATATATATATATATAAAATTAAGGGTTAAATATGTTTTTGGTGTATCATCTATAATTTTATTTGAAAATATAGACTTACTTATTAGTATATCATCCCCTAATAAAATTTTATGTGTTTTTTATAGAAATATTTTATATTTTATGCTAAAAATTCTATATTAATATTTTAGAGTATTAAAGTTTGTCATATATATTGTCTTTATCTGAATTTATAGTTGTATGAGTTAGCAACCATTTTAAAAAATGGAGAAATTTTATTGATAGAGAATATACAAAAAATTATAGTTGTATTTGTCAAAATATTTTTTAAATAATTATTTAGTTTTTTTAGTTCTTATGTTACAATTTAAATATTTTTTTTTATAAAAATTTTATACCTTATTTTATAGTGAGTTTATGGTTAAAATAGAACAAAGTCTCTAAACAGTTGGGTCGGTCCTAGGAGAATTTAGTTGTGTGGATTGTGTACAATATAAAAAGGAAAATTTTAGATTGAAGTTTTTATTGTTGTTTTTTATTTTCGTATTTGATTCCTTAATTGTATAAAACACATGTTGTATAATTGTCAAAATATTTGAAGACAACGAGTTTTTAATGGCTCGGGCTCCCATCTCCCTTCTATATCTTTTTCACTCATATTCTTCCCTCAAACACCATTACTAACCAACATAGGGACATGTGTCAGTCATTTCTAACAAAATGTTACCTATTACAAGAAAAAAATTAAAAACACCTACTCCGATAACAATAACGTCTCATCAAAGATTTTCATATTTGTAGATCTAATGATCAGGTAGGAGCAAGTATTACAAACTCTACCCTGGCCCTGAAGAGCAGAAACGAGAACTTGGGAGCATTTGTTATGGGTCATCTACAAATCCCAAAGACAAAAGGATCAAGGATCAATAATAAAGTGAAGGCGTAGAGTTGTGCTGAATCGGTGGACCTCCTCCTCCTCTCTAACAATAGATAATTTTACTCAAGAGAGTTTACTGGCCGTCCATATCAATATAACGACTGATCTTGATCCTTCATTCCACGTTTTCAGTTGTCAACTGCTTCTTCTATTTAAGAGAGAAAATATTTCATTATTAAATATTCAAATTCATTTATTTTTACATATTATTTCCACTCTCTTACTAATTTAAACATTAGAATATTAACTTTTTAGATTTTGCTGCAGATTCTACCACATCAAAACTTAAGAGTACTCAACAAACTCTGCCCCATATTTACCGATAAACTCTAGTTCCACAACATAATAGTTGGCAAAAAAAAAAATTATGGACACAAAATACCCAAAACAACATACGGCAAGAAAGCAACAATGGACAAATTGGTAATGTCAAGCACACCGAAATTTCGTATATTATAAAATTGAATTAGAGTCCATTCAAATTTCTAGTTACTTATGTGCTACAAAGTTGGATTTTTCCTCAATACTTCCACTAACATTGAATCATTGATATCCCTCACTTTTCAACTTATCATTGATCTATAGTAAACCATTAATTAACGAGTCTATTCACATAAAACATTTTTTGTTTTTTTAAAATTTTCTTTTAAACAATGATTCTCATAAAATTTTCCATTTAAAATTTTAATATCCACCGTCAACTTTTATTAATAGAAATTAACGTGGAACACCATGTGAAAGACAACTCGACAAAAATATGAAAATGTTTGTAATTACAGAGATTTTAAACCTCCTCCAAACAAATTTTACAACAATAATTATAACACATAAATTCATCAATGGCAACCAATTCATTAAGATGATCTTGAATACCAAATTTTAGAACAGTAGAAAAACAATAAAATATATTGGAAAACAAGTTTTTCTAACTAGGGTAATCAAATAATGTCATTTTTGTCTTGTCATATAATTTTAACCATTAAATTCACTGAATGGTACATTCCAATTCCCAAATCATATGTATCAGTTGTCTACATGTTTGGGCATGCAACAAACATGCATCGAAGCACATTACATACAAGGCCACAACAAGAAATTGTTGTGTTTTCGCGGTTCAAATGTGTCCAGAGCATGTTTGATACCTGCACAAATACAACCTATGGTTATTAGAGCATTGGTGCACCATTAAGAGAGTGTTTGGATATTCAGTTTAACTAAGAGAGTGTTTCTACAATTAAAGAGTAATTAAGAGCTTATCAAACCAACCTTAAAAAAAATTAATTGACATTTTCATACTAATCTCCAAGCCTTCACAAAAACTCAATGTTCATACTTAGTATAACAAACACTAATCCCCGAGTTAATGAAAGTTGACGGTAATGATCAAAATTAGTGATGGAAAATTTCATGAGAACCATTGTTTAAAAGAAAATTTTAGAGGGACTAAAGGCGAAATTGAATTATTTACAAGGACTAAATATATTTAACCCTTAAAAATATAAGTATCAACAAATTGAATCATTTCCATGACACATAAGGCTAAAAATAAAGCCTTCACACAGTTGAGAAACAGAAATCCTCATTTTCCCACTTTACCAAAACAGAATTTCTTTGCTGCTCCACTCGTTGAAGATGAGAAGACAGTTGAAACAAATCAACAGTAACTCCATTTTCAGATTTGATAACTCCCTTAGAGTTTATCTCATGCGGCAACGATTCATTTTTGGAAACTTGGTCATCACTATCTTGCACGTGGATGCCGTGAAAAAGAAGGGAGGTAGCTAATGGATTTCCTGCTGCATGGCGTGATGGATTATGTGACTGAGATGACAGAAGAGAGAGAGCACGGCTAGATAAATCGTGACCAAGTGTGGCGGGCGGTTCTAGTTGAGGGCTGCAAATTGGCTCCTCTTCTAGTTTGATACGTCCACTTTGAGAGATTTGATCATGCTTTGCTGAGAAAAGGATTCCACTTTGAAATATGTCTTGAAAGGAAAAGTTGTTAGTACCTGAAAACACATTTAGTGTAAGAGTTGTTAGACTTATTGAGTGCATGTTTTATCTTGTTAAAAAACATTCCAACAATGACCTTCTCATGTAATCATGAATTGAAAAATGATTTAAATAATCGGCGAAATGCAAAATATATGTCCTACCACGATAGTGAAAACTAATCTTACAACACTGGTGTGTTTGGCTTCAACTTTGTGCATTAAAAATTCTGATGGATGCAAACAAACACTTTTGTTAAATGGTCCACATCATTTTCCTGGGACCACGATAATTAAAAGACGAAGTGATAACATAATTTAAGATGCTTTATGTGCCTCTTTTGTCTGAAATGTTTAAAAAATTGCATGCTGTCTTTTCTAGATTCAAAGGCTTTAATTTCAGTTTATGGCAGGAATTGTATCAGTATCTTGTGAAAGCGAATATGATTATGAAACCTCCTGAAATAGAATCGTTATGATTTTTAAACTACATGGTGGTTGAAAATTAGAACTATATCTCATTATATAATATGCCACTAATCTATCAACTCTTAACTATATTGCTTCAAAGTTTGATTCACTAAATCTTATTAATAATTGATATTTACATAGTAAGGCATAGTTGATCTGAATTATGCTACTCAAACTTTATAAATTAAATGGGGTACATTATATGATGAATTTCAAAGGTTTTTCTTCGTCATTACGGTTAGATCATATGTTAGACCACTTGGGTTCTAAATTTTATAAATCGTTTACATATATTTCATTCTTAACGTGGACTAGTTAACTGCAGACCTAAATCATTGTAAACATCGTGATATGAAGTTATTGTAAATGGCATTGAAAAGAGGTTCTTAACCAATTGTTTCTGTCTTATCTATGTCGAATGAAACTGGTAGTAGAATGTATATTTCATACCTTGATAAGATTTTAGAATCTTGTGTTGTTTACTAGTCATGTAATCAAACTGAGGTTTCCTTCGGCGTTCATTGTGTCCAGCTAAACGCCTACGACAACTGCGCTTACCGTCATCGAACTCAGCTACCAAATGGAACCTAATTCAAGAAGAAAAAAAAAGTATAATTCAATCTACAAATGAAAATCAAATTCAATCTGCATACATTTCCTATTCAAATAAACGAATGACGGAAACAAAGTGAAAACAATGTGACATTTTAGTAACATTGACGAAACAGACAATTCTTTAAACACCAAAGGAAGTTTAAATTATACCTGCTGCACTGCTGACAAAACCTCTGTTCAACGCCATTAACAACAACTTTAGCTGTCTTGGAGTGTACATCACAAACTTTATGCCTTTTGTGGTAATCTTTCGAGGTGCTAAGATCCATATTACAATCATAAACTTGGCATACAGGAGCCTGGGAAGGTAAGGTGGAAGTGCGAGCTCTTTTTGAAAGCACAGTTTGATGTATCGCCGTGGAACTGAACGCTTTGGCATCTCTGTCATTACTTGCACCTTGACAATCTAGTAATCTCCCTAGCTTCAAATCAATCAATGAAGAATCATGATTTTTCGATTCAAATAGAGAACTTAAATGCTTTGACTCATAATCTTCTTCCCTGAAAGACGAATCAAAAGCAATAACACGGATGGAGGAGTTCCCTCTTTTACTAGAATTATTACTATCTAGCTCACAACTTGATGTCTGAACCAAACCATGAACAGCCCCAGATGTCTTCATAGGCTTGCTACCATGAAAAGACTTCTGCAAAAATTCGGGAAATCCCAAGTCCACAAACTCCATACTTTTAAATCCATCTCTTTCAATGTTACATGAAGATTTGTTCTGCAATTCAACAGACGGTTTTCGACTTCTCATAAAAGCATCAAGTGAAAAGTCCATTTCATCAGAAAACAAATAGCTTCTCTCTTCAGGGATGTAACTCCAAGATTCCATTAGTACAAATTGAATTGAAGAATACTGAAATAATGAAGAAACCTAACACAATTGGAAAGAAATACATTACTCCAATGCTAATATCAGATTTTTATATTGATTGATATTCATTTTTGTTAAACCTAATTCAAGCATATACATAAAATACAACTACAAATTTACCATAGAGAAGAAAAGGAAAGAACATAGCATCTAAAAATCTCAACTTTTTTTAACAGGGTCATTCTATACACAAATCAAGGAACACCCAAAAGACAAATTTCAAAAGGGTAAACCAAATCAAACCCAGATTGAAAAACTATATATCTTCCAAGTTCCAACTCTTATAACATTTGAAACCCAAATGGAAAAAGCAAAGAAAAAAAAAAAGGTATCTTGAAGTAAGGAATAATCTGAAAGATGGATTGTGGTGGTACCTTGTGAGTGGATTTGGCACAGAAGATTGAACAGTGGAGAAAGGGGTTTTTCTCAGCAGATACAGAGTGAGTCAAGATGAAACCAAAAGCATGTTACTTTTGAGAAAGCACTTCCTTCCATTTTCAGTACAATTGATTTGGTGACCAAAAAGTGGCATTCAAAACACATACTCACATACCCATATACTTCTAGCAAAAGAATAAAGGTTTAATTACTTTTATTTATTTCTTTAATCTATTTTCGAATAAAGAAATATTTATAGTGTATTTAAATTAGCGTGTGATAAAATTGTTTCTAATAAAATTGAATGGGATAGAATTGATTTTAATAAAATTAATTTTTAAATAATTAACTTATATTTTAATATATTTATGAAAAAATGAGTCAAACAATAAATTTTATTATAAAAATTATTTAAAATTAATTATAAAAAGAGAAGTTATAAATTCTAACTTCAAGTAGAATCAATTCTTAAAGCAAAAATAATTTTATTTTTGAAAAACCAAATACCTCGAAATCACCCAAAATTAATACTTATTTGTTAGGTCTTTAAATTTTGAAATAAGTTATAACTATATTTTTTAAAATAATTTTAAAAAATTCTCTAAACTCTAAACAACTGTAATTGATCACTAATTTATGTTTTAATAATATATATAAAAAAAGCGTACATAAAAAATATTTTTTGGAAAAATAAAATTGGCGTGTTTTAAAACAAAAAAAATAAAGGCTTTATAGTCAAATATTATATAGAATTATTAAAGATAAAATTAATTATTTTATGATTAATTAACATCAACTGAATGTAATACAATAACTAAACACTTCTGCAATAACAAATAACATGATTGAATTAATATCGAATGTGTTTTTCTCCCACTGCTTTTAATATCACATGTTGACACACGATTTTTAAGTTTTCTCTCTTTCTTCACTTTTTCTCTCTTCACTACACCAAAAACAATATCCTATCAAATCTAAAGTATTTATCATAAATTCTTATGACCGGACTACTCCATAAGATCTAATCGGTCCCTAAAAATTGGAGGATGGTAGAGAATAAAATACCAGAAAGAACAAGTTCTCATTTTATTTTGTTTTGTTTTTTAAATAAATATTACTTTAAAAATTACTAATACAATATTTCCTTAACTTTTGTAGCGAGTAGTTGTAGGGAAAGGTGGATCTATTACTTAGATCCACAAATTATCAAAACTCCATTTACAAAATAGAAAGGTTTGAAATTAGTTGCGGAGCATGAAACTAACGGAAACAAAAGGACACAAATAGCAAAATGTTTTTGAGGTAGAACAAGTATGGTTGTGAAGAATTGTTAGAATGTTATTATGAGAAGAAAACTAAATGAACAATCTAAGCTATGGGGTAAAAGAACCGTTCAAGAAGATGTTAATACAAAGAAGATCATGAAGCTAAACACCACAAAGAAGTCCCTTTTTTTTTAATTTTCTTGATGTTGGCACCGTTGAAAATCCACCAAAACCTCATGCACAATCCATTCTTTTTCACATAATTTATCGAAGTCTTTCGAAACATATTCTGCACCACCATCTGTTCTCAAAACTTTGAGCTTTTGACCACTTTGTCTTTCAACCAAGGACTTAAACTTGGCAAATACCTCAATCACTTAAATTTTCCTCTTGATCAGGTAAGTCCATAGTTTTCGACTGAAATTATTTATGAATATAACAAAGTATTTGTTACCTCCATTTGAATCCACCTGGATTGGTCCATATACATAAGAGTATATGACTTCGAGAATAGCCTTTGAACTGCTTTCTGCATCCTTGCTGAAGCTATTCTTGTATTGCTTTGCCTACGTATATTTCTCACACACCTCGTTTAAAATGTCGATTTCTGGCAGTCCTGAAACCATATTTATTCTCTTTAAATCTCTGATGTCTCTGAAGTTGAGATGTCTTAGTCGATAATGCCATATCCATTCATCTCTGCTAGCTGCAGTCGAAAGGCACTTGTGCTCCATCACATTAAGTTCAATCTTGAAAGTCCTATTCTGAGACATGGGAGCCTTCAAGATTAACCTTCCATTTGCGTCGATGACTCTCATCATCTTGTCTTTGATCGACACTTTATAATTCTTTTCGACCAACTGCCCTATGTTGAGCAAATTTCTCTTCATGCCAAGTATGTACAACACATTAGAAATTATTGAACTCTTGCCATCTTTCCTCATAATCATAACTTCACCAATACTTTCAACTGCTAGGGTATTGTCATTCACAAATTTCACCATGTTCTTCATTGAGGGCTTTATGTTGACAAATTAATGTTCCTCACCTCCTTCACCTTCTCAGCGCCTCTAAACGATTTCTTTAGAATTTCCCAGGCTTCTTTTGCAGATTCTATGTCACTAACCTTTTCAAAATTGTCTGGGTTGACACATTGATGAATTATAAAGAGAGTTTTATAATTCTTCTTCTTCGTTTCTCAGTATTCTTCTTCTTCTTCTGAAGCATCTTTATTAAGTGGTTCTAATCCATGTTTTATAAGATCCCAAAGACCTTGAAAACAGAATATAACATTCATCTGTTTGCACCAATTCTCATGGTTATCACCTTTAAGAATTAGGAGACTTGTTGGAAATTTTCCGTTAGCGTGATTCATCGACATCATGATCTTCTTCTTCTTCTTTAACCGTTCTTGATCGTTTTCCCCTTGAATCACTCAATGAAGCTCTTGATACCAGATATTGTAAATCCACAAAAACCTATGATGAATTTCTCTCAATCTTGATGAACAAGATTGTTATCGAAGAAAAGGACAATGAAAATTATGAAAGAAAGAAAGAAAGAAAAGACAATGATTTTCTGCAGAGTAACTCTCTGCCCACAAACAATGTAAAACTTTATTATTCACTTGCAGCTGCAAACTCTGTAAATACAACTTGATTGACTTCATTACAAAGATAGAGGTTACTCCCTCTATTTATAGATTTAGATTATCTTGCTCCCTAAGTCAAAACCCAAAACTATAAAAGCCCGAAATACCCATTTTGGAATTAAATCAAACCTCTCTACTTTAGACCTAAATTAAATCTATTCTATTTTAGATCTAAATCAAATCTATCTAAATCTAAAATCAAATCTGTGTGCAGTCTGCTTCGATACACAAGCTCTTTGGCTGAACATTCGTTTCAGTCGAGCAACCTGCTTCGACAACTACTCTCATTCGATACACATAGTTTCGACATCAAGGAATTACAATTTAGCAGACACTTCTTCTTCATAATAATACCAAAAATTAGTTTGAGTATTTGAGCTATGAGTTGATCAATCTTTTATAAAAAATTATTTATTGCTAAATTAATCAATGATTCATTCAACTCATTTTTTACATTCTCTATTTCTTTTTCAATGAATTGTTCTTTTTTCCTAGAAAAATTAGTACTAGTTCTTGTAATAGTGTTTTTTAAAAGTACTAACTTGTTTATTAAAAGATAACTGCTAATAATTTAAGTTTACTTATTAACAAATGTTGAAGCTTACGTTAACAAAAACTGATTCTATTAAAAATGTGAATTTATCATAAATATTTAATTGAATCACTAACTAACTAACTAAATTTGTTAAGTCTTTAAACTTTGAAATAAGTTATAACTATATTTTTTAAAATAATTTTAAAAAGTTCTCTAAACTCTAAACAATTGTAATTGATCACTAATTTGTGTTTTAATAACATCTTAAAAAAACTTACATAAAAATATTTATTTGAAAAAGGAAATTGACGTGTTTTAAAACAATAAAATTAAAGACTTTATAATCAAATATCATATAGAATTATTAAGGATAAAATTAATTATTTTATGATTAATTAACACTAACTAAATGTAATACACTAACTAAACACTTCTGCAACAATAAATAACATGATTGAATTAATATCAAATGTGTTTTTCTCCCACTGCTTTTAATATCACATGATGATGACACACGATTTTTAAGCTTTCTCTCTTCCTTAATTTTTTTTCTCTCTTATATATATCTTCTTCACTTTTCTCTCTTCACTACACACAAAACAATATTCTATCAAATCTAAAGTATCTACCATGAATTCTTATTACTGGATTGCTCCACGATATCTAATCGTTCGTCAACATGTTGAAGAGTGGGGCCCTAAAAATTAGAGGACGGTAGACAATAAAATATCATGAAGAACATGTTCTCATTTTATTATATTCTATTTTTTTAACATAAATTACTTTAAAAATTACTAATACAATGTTTCCTTAACTTTTGTAGCGAGTAGTTGTAGGGAAAGGTAGATCAATTACTTAGATCCATAAATCATCAAAAATCCTTTTACAAAAGGGGAAGATTTGAGACTAGTTGAGGAGCATGAAACTCAAGGAAACAAATGAACACGAATAGCAAAATATTTTTCAGGTAGAACAAGTGTGGTCGGGAAGAATCGTTGGAATGTTATTATGAGAAGAAAACTAAATGAACAATCTAAGGTATGGGGTAAAGGAATCATTCAAAAAGGTGTTATTAACAAAGAAGATCATGAAGTTGAAGAACACAAAGAAGTCCCTTTCTTTGGTTTTC